GTTCTAAAGCAATAACCCACTAAAGGAATCATGGTGTCTTTTCTAAACAAGTTTTAGCTTGTTTGGGGATCTGGAGCTCAGCTAGGTTTGTCACGTGGGATTTTGTAAAATTCTGACTTTCTATCTTTGCTGAGAAATGCCCATCCACCTGGATGGTGTCTGCTATCATTTAGGATAAGGGAAAAACAAACTGTTTCTGGCAGAGGCTCTGCAGGGCAACAAACAGTGTTTTAATTAGGGTTATCAGGCTGATTGCTTGGCCTGCAGCAAGTGAGTATTTGTTACTTTTTTAACAAAGAATTCAACTGGAAAAAGCCTTTCCTGGGAGAGGAGGTAAAGGGACACGCTAAATTTCATCGCTGGGACTGACATTAAAATAGTAATTAAAGAGATAGTCTGAGAGGAGCCCCCAGTAGGGTGAGCTCTGACTCAGCTTGCCTGCCGCAGGGCATGGACGCAGAATTCTGTGGGACATGTGACCAGGGGTTGTGGTTTAAGAGACACTCTGCTTCTTGACTGACAGCTCTCCCTGCCTTCTCTACAGCTGCTAAAGTCAAATTTCAGAAGAGACCAGAGAAAATACTGTTTACCTTCATTTCTCCATAGTGCAGTGGGTTCTGAACATCATTTGCCTGTATAACACTGACACCAATATCACTTCCAGTTGTCATGACTCCTTTGACTGTTACTGTAGCAACAGCCTGGTTAGAATAGGACCAACTGAAATTTCCACTTCCACCGTGAGCCTAAAACATGAAGGAAAAAATATTTAATTTGTATTAATATGGTGCCCTGTTCTCTCTGTTACCATCTACCCAAACTTCGGACATAGTACATAAAATGCTAGACACACTGCATAGAGTTAAGAATGCTAGCACTGAAATACAGTGAAACTGAGGCACCAACACTTTAAATCAGCAAGGCCAGGGATTAACAGATTCCTACCCTTCATTCATTTTAATTTCAGATTTATTCACACATAGACATTTTGCTCATCACTGCTGCTAACCTAAACACCTCTCTCTACCACTGCTGCAAAATTCTAATGCTCAAAGATTCCTGTGATTAATAGCACTTGCAGTCAGCATATCATTTCACAAGTCAGCACAACAGAGGCCCAGCGTGTGTGATTGCTGTATTTTTCAAAACTCTGATTAATTTTCTGTTGCTGAAAGCCAAAGACAGTCAAGTGGACGTTTTTAGGTCTCAGTGCAGCTAACCTACTGTACTATGGCAATTGGCTTCTACCAATGGGAATTGTTGAGAAGTCTAAAAAGCAAAAGAAGAGGGCAGAGAAAAGGAAACAAAAATTGAATTTTTGCTGCCATCGCATCTTTATTTTTAGCCTGAACGGTATGTTAGCAGATGTTTCTGTATCTGTACATCCGGCATACATATTGCTCCAGGAATTTATCCATCAGGAGTGAGTGATAGGTAGCAATACAGATTGCCCACACTTACCTTGGGCAATACAGAGGCCTGTACACTGTGTAGGTTACATCCTCAGCCAGGCTCTCTAAGGATTCAATCATTGCCAAACCTAGATATTCAAGTCAAAGAGGACCATTCCCAAGAATCAGACCTTTCCAGTTCATGAAGGATTTTAAGATAAATTGCCAGGACTTTAACTTTATTTTAGTTTAGTGGAGCAAGGGGGAACGACTAATTATTCAGTCTTACGGTCTGTGTCACAAGAGAGATGAATGACCTTGCCCATTAAGTAGTATGGTAGCTCTGTAGCTTATTGAAATCAAAGCAGAATACTATCTGCTGAAGTTTCACATTCACACTGAGTCAAGAAGAGTTTGCCCCATCAAAATAACACTGTCATTCTCAATCTGTAACATTCTTATATAAAGAAAACCATTGCTATAGAATTCATAGTTTTTAAACAGCATTATGGTAAGTTACAAAAATAATTATGTGGCAACATCTTGCTGCACGGCAAAAAGTACTGAGAATAATTTGCATTTTTTTAAAAAAACATCTTTTTCTCTATCACCCAGGTGCCCCTCCCCACATGCTATGGTCGACCTGTGAGACAATGTTCCATAATGAGAATAATGTCCTATGGCAAGAAGCTTCAAATTATGTGGGGGTTAATTTCTGTAGCATAGTAAACATTTTTATAAACAGTTTCATGATTCAACTGATGTAAACAAAGTACAATGAAAAACAAGATTCATGTGGGCAGTAATCATAGGTCTAAAAGGAGGAACAGCTGAGACACATGCAAGTAGACTCTTCCGAAAGAATCAAAGAGGAACCAATTTAATATGGTAGTTCCTTTTCTCTCATGGGCTTCTGGATGGCCCATTAACAGAAAATCATCAGGAAAAAAAAAAAAGGAAAAACTACTGGCCAAGTAGGCAATAGTTGGAGTGGGACTAGGGTAAATAGGCTCAGTCGAGAAGGGTGAAAGCTCGGATTCCTTAGGATAATGCAGAATTGTTCATTCAAAATGCTTTGGAGACATCAGGTATATCTGGATAAACAGAGCTTCACTTAAAATAGTCAGAAGACTGACTGTAAAAATGTTACCTTCTTATGTGTACACAGAGTCACATCTTCTTACCAGGCAGCCAAAAAAAAAAAAAAGTGTTGCTACATTTTACTCTAGTTACTACTGGCCAGCTCAGGGAGAATAAACTGGATTCTATCCTGACTTGCACATCATCCATGGACTTGTTAACTGGGCCCACCCCGCACAATTTGTATTACTGATGATGCATAAGCCAGAAAGAACACAACTTGACTTTCAGATTCCTAGCTTTGTAGGGCTGACACTTGGCTTTTCTAAAGTAAGTAAAATAAAAAGATGTTTAAACTCTCCTTTTACACTCTCTTTTTACATATATTAAAGCCAGTTTAGAAATCATGAAATCAGTGACATAAAATAAACATGGAATCCCTATGATGCTATTTGGGCAGAAACACTTTTCAGAGATTAAACAAGCTTTGGGACTAGTCCAAAGCCCACCAAAATCTCTGGGCGTTTATTCCTTGACTTAAAAGGGCTTGATCTGAAACCCACTGAGCAAGAGGTGGAGACTAATCCGAAAACAAGAATGGCAATAATAATCTGTCTACTGTAATTAATAACCAATTGTAACTGAGCACTAACTGCTGTTGTGATAATTAAGCCTACAAATTTGCCCTAATTGTGAGGGAAGCCATGAGAAGTGAAAGTTCATGAAATGTCACAATAGCCTATTACAACAAGCAATGATGGGAAAAGCAAGATAGAAAGACTGAATTAGTAAACAGAAAAAAGGCTTCCTGTTATAATACAAGGACTGTGTTAAGATTATGACTGGTAAACATGAGGAGCAGAGGACCGGAAATCAATGAATCAAAATACCTGCGTCTGAAATTAGGTCTAACTGATGGACAAAATAACGAGGGGGTGGATTATTCCACCCATCACTTCCTTTTGGGGTTCTTAAAGAAAGAGACTTTGGGAGAAAAATTGGTTCCTGGAGTGAGCTTCACTATCCTGGCTGCCACAAGAGTCTGGCTTAGCCGGCAAGACTGCATATTTTGCAACACTGCTGTACACCTGTGACCAGAAAGAGGCAGCTCAAAGCAACATCCTAAACAGTCCAATGCTGGTAACAAGTTTGCCAGGTCTTGGAGTGGCTGATAAGACCATGTGCTATGTCTGTGTTTTTCCAGCAGTAAGATCAGAAGTGAGAGTTAACATCAAAGACAGAAGCAGCATTTTCTATCATGGCTGTTCTTTTCTCTCCCTTTTTATGTGTTTTCTTATTTTGACTTCTTAGGAAACAGCATTTTAACAGCAGCAGCAATAACAACAGCCCATCTCAACTAACGTCTTTTTCCCCAAAAGGACAGTTATTACCATCCTTAATATCATCTAAAACTGTGAAATGTGTTTTTTCCTTTCTAAATACTTTCAGGAGAAGACCTTCTCTTGCATTCCAGGTGAGGTCTTGGGCCTTGAGTCCAAGTGGACCTTGTTCAGGACCTCAGTCATTGAGGCAGCCATGAAAAGCTGTGGCCTGAAGGCGGTTGGTGCCTGTCATGGTGGCAACCCTAGGACTGCTGGTGGACTCCAGTGGTGAGGGAAGCTGACAAGTCAAAGGAGGCGACCTGCCGAACAATGCTCGCAAACCGGACTCCTGTTATGGCTGAGAGGTACTGGCTATCTAAGAGTGCTGCAGCTGGGGCGGTTGTTGAAGCAAAAGCCCAGGCTTGGGAGGAGTTTGGAGAGACTTTGGATAATGACTACCAGATGGCCTCAAAGGTGTTCCGGCAAACCATTCGTCGCCTTAAAAGGGGTCAGCGGGACGTTGCCCAGACTGTACTCAGTAAGGGTGGTGAAACACTGACTTTGACTAAGGAGACTGTCCGAGAGGTGGAAGGAGCACTTTAAGGAACTCCGCAACTCGATGGACATGCCCCCCTTTCAGGAGGCAGCGCCGGACACCTCCGGTGAGATCGGATCTATTTCTGATGCTGAGGTCAATACGGCGGTAAAGTGCCTTCGTAGTGGTAAGGTAGCAGGGGTGGACAAGATTTGCCTGGAGATGCTGAAATCACTGGACAATGTTGGGGTGTCATGGTTAACGCGCCTGTTCAATGTTGCGTGGAAGGCGGGTGCAGTACCTCCAGATTGGCAAACCAGAGTGGTGGTCCCAATCTTTAAGAAAGAGACCAGAGGGTGTGTTACAACTATAGGGGATCACACTCCTCAGCCTCCTTGGCAAAGCCTATGCCAGGGTGCTGGACAGGAGGTTACGCCCACTAGCTGAACCTCAGATTCAGGAGGAACAATATGGATTCCATCCCAGCCGTGGAACAATGGACCAGCTCTTTGCTTTCTCGCAGATACTTGAGGAGTCGTGGGAATTTGCTAATCCAGTTTATCTTTGTTTTGTAGACCTGGAGAAAGCATATGACCACGTTCCATGAGATGTCTTGTGGGAAGTGCTGTGGGAGTATGAGGTGTCAGTACCGCTTTTGTGTGTTATCTGGTCCCTCTATTCTCGGAGTGAGAGCTGCGCTCGTATTCTGGGCATCAAGTCGAGTTCGTGCAAGGTGGGCATTGGACTCCACCAAGAATGTGTCTTGTCTCCACTGCTATTCGTGATTTTCATGGACAGGATATCAAGGCACAGCCAAGCTATGGAGTGTATCTGGTAGAGGGGCTCAGAGGTGGCATCTCTGATGTTTGCAACTGATGTTGTCCTTCTTGCTTCATCAGACTGTGATCTCAGACGCTCACTCAACGTTTCGCTGCTGAATGTGAAGCGGTTGGGATGAGAATCGGCACCTCCAAATCAGAGGTCATGATCCTCTCCCAGAATAAAGCGAACTGCTCTCTTCAGGTGAGGGGGGAGCAGCTTCCCCTAGTGGAGAAGTTCAAATATCTAGGGGTCTTGTTCATGAGTGATGGCAAACGGGAGCATGAGATCAACCAGCGGATTGATGCGGCAGCAATGCAGGCGCTGTACTGATCCATGATGGTGAAGTGGGAGCCAAGTTCTCACCCAAGCTCTCTGTTTACAGGTCAATCTACGTCCCCATCCTCACGTATGGTCATGAACTTTGGGTAATGGCCGAAAGGACAAGATCGCGGATACAAGCGGCGGAAATGAGGTTTCTCCACTCAGTAGCTAGGCTTACTCTTCGACATAGGGTGAGGAGCTCGGCTATACAGGAGGGCCTCAGAATAGAGCCGCTACTCCACTGGATCAAGCAAAGCCAGTTGAGATGGTTCAAGCACCTAATAAGGATGCCCCCTCAGGGGCTTCCATTGAAACTCTACCGGGCATGTCCCACTGGGCAGAGGCCCTGAGGTCAACCCAGGACACGCTGGAGGGATTATATTTCCCGGCTGGCCTGGGAACGCTGGAGAATCCCCCAGGAGGAGCTGGAACCTGTTGTGGAGGAAAAGGAGGTCTGGTCCTCCCTACTCTCCATGCTGCCACCGTGACTCTCACCAGGAATAGCTGCATAAAGGAAAAAGAAGACGACGACGCCGACTTTCTCCAGCTAAAGGGAAAGGGAACATGGGGTATGCTTAAAATTAAAGCCTTATTCAATATTTTATATTTCAGATGCTTTACATTTCAAAACCTTCCCCCCTCCTCCTTTTCTGTATTTTCAATAAATTGTTAACAATGATTTATCATGGCATGTTTGCCATGGTACCAAGCAGGCTGAGGTCTCTGTACACCAAACCCCAAACTTTGTTTACTGTTGGACAGTTAGGATCATTGTAATCCCTGTGACTCTCTGGGCCGCTTTATTCCATCTAAATTAATACAGTGCTGCTGTAAATGTAGATTAGGTAAAACTTTTCAGTAGACCCACTTTATAATTTAAGGAAATCAAAGCAGAACATCTAAAGATTAATTTTTTATGAAAATCAATGTAACCAGTTGGACATTTCATATAGCGCTAACCACCACCATGGCACACAAAAAAAAGATTAAAAGAAGAAACAAAGGAACATTTTGAAAGAGCATGTGCCAAATGTTCAACTCTCCATCGGGGACAACAAACTTGAGTTACAGCAATGTAATAGAAATGTGCAAAAGTGCTGGGCATTTTTACATGGTTATGTATAAGGTAACAGAGTATGAGCTGAATTCTGGTCTCTCACAGGTGAAAATCCAGTTGAAGCCAATGAAGTCAATGGTGTCATTCCACTGTGGAAGAGCAGAATTTGGCCCTATACAAAATGCAAAAATAAACCATTCAAATCTCTTGTTTTACCATATGCTGCTTTGCATCTTTTCCTGGACAGTCTGATCAGAGAAAAGACTCGTATCTCAGCGCACACATATGCCAAGTGGATAGACAGGAACTGCACATGTAATATTTTTGAGGCGAAATGTGTTGGGGAATCTTCATTTAGCGACCACCTCAAGGGTTCAAATTTTGATTTTGTAAGCAGTATACAAAAAGGTTCCAGTGGAGCACATTCAAAATGTGGTTTGATTTAATAGTGTGCCTTGGCAAGCATGGTAGCATGAGAAGGACAGAAGGAGCACAAGAAAGAGGAGAATTAAAAAAAACCCCTGTTGTTGAATCTACCGTAAAGAAAGCTGTGGCCTTTGCCGTCCAATAACCATGTTATTGGTACAGCCAGGGAGATAGGCAGGGAATGAAGGATGCCAACATCAATGCACTAGGGACTAGCCATCTTAAGATGGCTTCTTGGCAGTCACTATGCCAACTAATTCAGGGAACCTATTTGCAATAAATTAAGTGCCTCTCTCATTGCCTGAAATCTGTCACACTCAATTATCGTTAAGTTTGGCTTTTTCTGTAATTATGCTTTGCTTTAAAAGGTACCGACAACAGAGAATAAAATAACAAAGGTGCAACTCTTTTTAAAGCAGTGCACTTGAACTCCAGTGAAATGCCACCAAACACACTTTTAACGTAAATATGCCTGCAGCAACCAGAGTTAATATGTAGCAGCAGTTTCCCCAAACAACTACTGGCCTAAATCTTCCAGAGTGACACTTCCTGCATTTAGATGGCTTCCTTAGCATACCTTTATTGTGTACTGATAGGCTCCTGCCTTTGGCTGCCATGGAAATGTCAAAATGCTCGGTGAAAGGATAATGGGAACATAAACTTCAACTTCTTGCTGGTTTCGTACTGGTACAGGCAATGTATGAACACCTCCATCCTATAATAAGTAACAGCATGTACAATTATAAATGACATTCATAGCACTTGTTAAAAGAAAATTGTGTGTTTATTTATAAATAGGTTACTGAGGAAACACTCACACACACACACACAAACAAAAGGATATATTTAGCAATTATTTTTTATTTTATTTTATTTTTTTTACTATTAGCTCTGCACTTCCTGTGAGCAAATTAGCAACTCATTGGAACAATGCCTACTCTATATTAGATATGCCACTGTCATTACTCTGGAGCCATAGATGAACATGGCAATTTACTGGCAAATTAAGTAACAAGGAGCCCACTTATCCCTTCTCCACTCCTTGTACTTCATAACCCTTCTTCACACCCTGCTCAGCCCCTTCCTACTACAGTCTGTTCAGTGAGAAAGGGACAGATTGTGGTTGGAGAATAATGCATCTATGCCCAAGGAAGGGATTCTTAATACCATACTCTGAAACTGGCTGTTACGTTGCCATCAAGAGCCTTCCATGACTATGATTCCCAATGAAGATGTAATTCCCCCTGCTGTTACTCCTGCTGGGGTTCTGAAAACACTGCAAGTCTCGCAGACCTTGGGGAGGTCTTTTCAGAAAAGCTGACAGAGAGAGGCCGACTGCCTGAAGCAGAGGGTGGAATTGGTTCATCACTTTCAAGGAGCAGCTAGGAAGAGATTTGAGAACACATGTGTCTCAGTATTTGAACCCCATCAAGTTTCAGACATAAAACCAAATCGCTTAATGGGGAGGAACCCTCCCAAACTGAAGTGCCCTGGTGGCTGCATACTTGGCAGCCACCACGACTGGCCAGGTAGCAGAAAAGTTTAATCAATATTCATTTTTAAGAGGCTTGTAGGCTGGTATGTTTGGCCAGTCTTCTTTCTAGCATTTAATGATCACTTACCAAATGACAGAAAGTGTCCCAAAATGTAATGTAATGCAAAGCAGGGCCAGGACATGGCACAGTGAGTCAGAATTTCCCTACACACAGTAGTAAGCCTTGACATTTACTCAGAGTATGTGACTGGGCCCTTAGTCAGCACCCTGCTACAAGACATGCCCACGTATTCCGGATAGCTACCAGAGAAGAAATTCAGAGCAGTGCATTTCAATCACTCTAAACAAGCGGTAAATGGCACACAACTAGGAATCAATCTTGCAACCTTACTCAGGCAAAACATCTATTATTCATTCTTTCTATTTTTGTAGCATTCAGGAGTCCCACCTACCGACCAGGACCCCATTGTGTTAGGCACTGTACAAACACAGAACAAAAACACTTTGTTGAGCATTTTGCTTAAGTAAGAAATTCAGGCTCTGCCCCCTCATCCATTTATATATGTTCTTATTTTTGTGTGGCTTAGTCATTTAATTCCTATTTTTGCTTTCAGAGGAGTATACCAATAAAAAGATTCTGATGTGTATGTACTTGATAATTTTTCTAAGCATATGAGCAAACGAGAACATTTTTTAGTAAGACATACCTGATCTACTACAGATGTTAAAGCAGCATCGATAATAGTTTGACCCTTCTTTATTGCTTTCACATAGTGATATGATCCATTCAGAGAGGACTTCAAAATCTCAAAATATTCTTCAGACAATTCTGTATTAATTCTGATATTCTGAAATTAAAATATATTGCTTATGTGTTGCCAGGGATTAACAACATTGAGGAATACATGTCAGGACAGCAAAAAATATTATTTTGTTAAAAAAAAAAAAATACAGAAAATCCAACCAGAAAAAAAAAGTCACACTACACATATATGGTCAACTTACAAACAAATAAATCCCCAAATATCCAACCTTGCTCTCAGACAAATAAATAAGATTAAGCTAAAATTTCCAAGTTTAGGTGCTTGAGATTAGAAAGCTACATAAGGTTTTCAGATGTGCTGAGCAGACAGCTTCCGAAACAGATCATTCATGTAGGTGAATGAATATGGATTCAGATGCCTAACCTGAGGTACTAAAGTTTGAAAATGTTGACATATAAATAAATGTAAACAAATGTTATAAAGTTACATTGTATAACTAACTATATATAGTTTAACAAGCTTATCTGAAATTCAGGGGTATAAAAGTTTTTTCCCCCCTTTAAGACAGACATCACCCAGTGCGTCAAGATCATCTTATTGGTTTCCTGTGGGACAGAGTACTAGCATCCAAAAACACTTCTATCATCATAATTTAAGAGAATTTATTTCCATCAAAAACAACCTCTAATGTTGCGGGAAAGGACATCACTACTTCTACCACTAAACTAATCAATTCAGATTTTACAACCTCCAATTTAGAATTTCTCTATTCTGTCATCCTTAATACGCAAGGAAATATATGAACTATTTCCCTAACAACAAATTTCTTCATAATTTGGGTTAAAACTTACACCGGGGTAGCTATGTGGTATGGGGTGTGAAAACACCACACCCCTGAACAACGTAGCTATGGCAACAAACCCCCCCCGTGTATACACAGCTATGCCGACAGAAGAGTGCTGGTGTTGGTGTAGCTGATGTACTTAGACAGTCTTAGAATGTCAGGGTTGGAAGGGACCTCAGAAGGTTATCTAGTCCAACCCCCTGCTCAAAGCAGGACCAATCCCCAGACAGATTTTTACCCCAGCTCCCTAAATGGCCCCCTCAAGGACTGAACTCACAACCCTGGGCTTAGCAGACTAATGCTCAAACCACTGAGCTATCCCTCCCCCCTATGGTGGTGTTCTCCCTACCCTGGAAGAAAAACTCCTCCTGTCGATATATGTTGCGTCTACACTGGCAGCTACATCTGTGTAATCACGTAAACTTACTCCATAAAACTAGAGAAGAAACACCTTTAACAAGAGGTTCAAAAAAGATTTAATACCTTGAAAATGTCTGCTAACTACACTCGGTGCTCATCCTTACTGGCTGCACTGGTTTGGAAGTTTCCTTCTATCATAAACTTGCAGAGATGCAGCACGCCCGCCAACATTCTCTCAGTTTTTCTATCACATGTGCTAAGATGTGTCCCGACAGAGCTACCCAGCATGCTTTGTAACAACAAAAAATTTATAACTTTCCACGTCTGTATAAGTAAAGGGTTGCTTAGCTAATTGCACAAAATTTTTCACAGATTTGCTAGATACACAACGTCCAGTAACACAGAATAGAAACATATACCAACACTGCACTTACATCAGATAAATACACCTTATTGCTTGATTTGTCATATGCGTCTATTGTAATTTCATAAAGTCTGCCTGTTTCTAAGACCCATCTGTCACCAGGATGAATTGTAAATCCTGTAAAACAGAAAACATTCAACAGCATAGACCAGAAGGCCATTTATGTGATGAACTATTATGTATCATATATTCACAAACATTTTGGTTCATAAAATTTAAAGATGTGCTTTAATTGCTAAAGACTAATGGTGGGGAAACAGAGGAAATCAATAGTTAAAGCCAAAATTATTTAATATGAAACATTTTCTTATTAAAAAGACATTTCTACTATACTATAATATATATATGTGAGCAGGTACAGGGACTTAGATACCATATGCACCGATACTGCACAGAGGCATTGATACAGGTATATAGTTTGAGAATTTGTTAAAGAAATAAACACTCGGAAGAACAACAGCAAATACTAACCTAAATATCCAGGATCCACAACATAGATAGTGCTGTTTGGTAATCTGGAAGCACCTTGCATGCGAATACCTGCAATCTCAGTCAAGGAACTAAAAGGCTTTGAAAGAAGAACATTAAAACTAACTTCTGTCTGGGACTGCTTTCATGGCTATTTAAAACTGACTCCATGTTCCTGAAAAGAAGGACACAAAAATGCTAGCTCCCTTAAGAGTGAGCATTTCCAGAATATACTGGTTTACAACACACACACACTCTCCCTCCTCCTCCCTCCCACTAAGGTAACAGACAAGATAATTTAATGGATCTTTTCCAGGCCTAAAGCCCTAATTTCTAGGAGCACGTCAAGGTATCTGAAGATAGTGGTATGACTGAACTCACAGCAGTGTTGCTTTCTACACCTGTCAGCTAGTGCTGATTTTCAGACCACTGGGCAAAGCATGGATAGTTTTATCCTGGTATGTGGCAGAGTGTGGAAAATCTGCCTCCTGACATCAGGCATTGAGCACCCCACAGAAAGGATATTTTTGTGCCCCAGCACTAGGTTAATTTGTCCCTGCTGCAATGCAGTTACCGTTGATGTTGCCTGATCCAACTTGGCAACAGGCCGAGCTGGATCTCCCTCAGGACCAAGGAATGTTGTTCTGAAGCTGCAGTTCATAGTGATCTGAAGGCATCATTAATTCTGTACATGAAGCAAGAAGACACATGAAACAACACAAGCTAATGTGTCACTGTTTGGACCCTGTTAATTATTACTGATTAATTTTTTATTTGATGCCTAGCACACATTAAATTGGCGCTTTAAATAGTTTTGTAGAAAATGCATTTTCTACACCCGGGCATGAAGCATAATCTAAGCTAGATGAATAAAATAATATTTTGTTCCCATTGCTGAAGGCTCCAACTAAAATTGCCTTCCTGCTTAAAGGAGAATGACATCAGACCAATTTCTGGTCTTGGCAAAAGGAACTTTTTACATGAGCAACTGAAATCCATGCTGCTGCATCCCATACTGCCAGCTAGAGAGCTGAAGTAGGTCTAAGTGAATACATGATTTCATATCTGGTTTCTTAAAATAACTCCCATCAAGTTGCAAGTTTCTTGTACTTGTACCTGTATCTTATAAACAAATCTCCTCATTCTCTGAAATTGGTATGCAGCTAGTTCAACCTTTCTCCAATTTTCATATTAATTTGCCAAGAAAATGGAGTAACATCTAAATCAGGCATTTCACAAAGTGAATGAGGCCTTTCTGTGGAAAACAAATGTACTAAAAATTCAAATGTTTCCCTAATATGAAAGACAGATGAACACGTTTGAATAAGACAGATGAACACGTTTGAATAATACAGACCTGGATCCCAAACTTGCAAACTGTTATGCATGTGCTCAAATTTATGCACATGACTAATCCTTAATAGGACTACTCCTACATAGAAGATAAGCATATGCATAAGTGTTTGCATGATGAGAGAAAGGGAGGGAGATAAAGGATATCTCATCATAATTTTAATTATGAAAGTTTAACAATCTAAGGTGAATTTAAGACCATTTCCTTATCAGTGTACACAATATTTTAATTTTCTACTCATAGGTGAAAAATTCACACTGAATGTGGAATATTAAGAAAAATGGAGGAAGACAAACCTGTAATCTTGCCTTGTCTTATTTTCTGAACTTTATATTGAAGTGATGTTCCTACCAGCAGGTAGATATCATAAGCTGGATTTAGAAGAATGTTTTCCAAAATAAGCAACCTGACTTCTGCAGGATGTACATTCTATTGGTTAAAAGAAAAAACAAAAGCCACATTTTAAAGTAACAAATATACCCATTTAAAAAAAGCTTCATAATCCACAAATAAAAAATATGTATAAAGTTATTTCTGTCCTGAAGAACAGTTTAACACCACCACTTTTCTAATGGCAATAGAACTCAGAGCATGTAGTGGTACACAGAAGCACAGCTTCACTTGCACCATCAGCAATGGATACTAAAGGAGATAAGCAAAATGAGACATTTGAAGATATCTGAGCAGGGTCAAACCAATTAACAGTTAACTTAATGATTAATGTGTAAAATGTCAAGTGATGAATACAAAGATGAGGTCTCAGATATACAGAGATGAGGATTATTTGACCATGAAAGAAGACAAGCAAATATAAGTAAATTAATAAATAAATAAAACTGGCCAGGGTGTTAGAGACAAGGTAATCAAAATATTTTGGTGACAATCATTCCTCTCTAATCATTACAACAGTACTTGTTGTACACCTCTTATTTAAGATCAACCAGTGTTTTCATAAAGCCTTCCACAATTGCCTTCAAAATTTCATAACTTGAAAAATCTTAATGTTGGCACACTTCTGGGGCTTTGGGCTTGTTTGAAGTGTACCATTTAATAAATATCGATAGCTAAGAATATCACATGACTAGACAGAAAAATACTGGATTTCAGTGAAAGAATGTACACATCTTCTGCAGCGCTGGAAAAAAGATAAGTGTATCATAAACATTTGTATCTGTTTGTGCTCTGCAGGGAGCATTTTTATAAGGGTCCAAACAGATTAAATGTAGCAGCACTCCAAAAGTCTGTACAGTACCATGCATCATACCAAACTGTTACAGATTTTTTTTTTTTAATACAACTTCCCAGAATAGGACAAGCGTAGTATGTATTTTCTACCTGTGTTTTTCTTTTTACACTACAGTGCAGCAAACATTTAAATTCTCTAATTGCATGACAGTTTTGAAATGCTTCAGAAGAGACATTCGGATGCATCAGATGCAAAGTACTTTTATGAAGAACTGTCATTTACATATTTACCAGATAGACTTAAGAGTGTTTTTTCCATTTTTTAAGTACACCTCTACCCCGATATAATGCTGTCCTCGGGAGCCAAAAAATCTTACCGCGTTATAGGTGAAACGGTGTTATATCGAACTTGCTTTGATCCCCGGAGCGCTGCTTTGCCGCGTTATAGCCGAATTCATGTTATATCGGGTCACGTTATATGGGGTAGAGGTGTACTGGACATTTTTTTTTAACCTCATCACACATTTAAAACCCCCCACGTATATTCCAATCTTTGGCCATGATTAAAAATGTTACACATAGAACTGCAGGCTTTAACAAATTACATTTCTTGAGGGTGGAGAGGTGAAAAGAAAAGTGAGGCTTTGGGGAGGAAAATTGTTGTTAAATACTCAAGGAAGCTTGAAGGAGGCCAGTTTTAGTTTATTGGCAAAGTAACATGTATTGCCATGTGAGAGGCTACACGGCGAGTTACTGTGCAGCAAGCCAGGGTGTGACTCTATAGCACATCATCTTGCAATGCAGTAACATCCCGTGTGGACACTGCTACAGTACACTGAAAGTCCTGGAGTGTGGCTTGGCTTAAACGTGCTACATTTGAAAGCATAGTATGCTAACTTTCAGTGCGCCGCAGCGGTGTCCACATGGAACTTGATTCACAGAGAGCTGGTGTGCTATAGATTCACCCTGGCTTGCCACAAATTATCTTGCTCTGTAATTTGCCAACTATCCCTTGCACAAACTGGTGCCAACAGTGCTGCAGAGTGCATTGGCATAGCCAGTACTACCAGCAGTAAAGTTTCCAGGTGAATAACGCTGTCTCTGACCTCCAGCTCAATCCAACTGGCCATGGCATGGTTTTAAGCACTTTGAGAACTGACTCTGCGTAGAAAAGTCTACTAAATAGTGGTTACACCAGGCAGTGATTAAATTTCTCAATTAGCAAATAATAATTTAAAATGTATAGCATTTTCCAATCAAGAACCTTAAAGTTCTTTACTGACATTAATAAACTTCACAACACAACAATGGAATACTAATGCCATTTCACAGATAGGGAAACTGAGGCATAGAGTGTATAAGTAATTAGTCCACATTGCTGCAGCCAGGAAAATATACATAGTGAAGAGTTCATGAATCATGTGTGCTTTCAGCCACTAAATCATGCTTCCCCTTACAATCAGATGTTCTCTCCTTATGGTCTTTTGCATATCCAGGTAGAACAACTTAGGAGGCTCGGTGTATTGAAGTTTGTTCATATTTTGGTTTATTCTTAATAGGAAAAAATAAGAAGGTGCAGGGTAATAGGAAATTCTTGGGGTTTTTTATTAACAGGGAATTTAATTTACTTGTGTATAGATGGATCTCTCTTATATCCTTTCCTTTTTATGCAAGCCATTTATATTTGGGGGGAGGGATAGCTCAGTGGTTTGAGCATTGGCCTGCTAAACCCAGGGTTGTGAGTTCAATCCTTGAGGGGGCCAGTTAGGGATCTGGGGCAAAAATCTGTCTGGGGATTGGTCCTGCTGAGCAGCAGGTTGGGCTAGATGACCTCCTGAGGTCCCTTCCAACCCTGGTATTCTATGATTTGCCTTTATAGCCCAAAGACATGCCAAAAAGTGTTTATAAAAAAATGAAAGTGGCCATACAGCAGTGATCACACTGAAGCTGCAAAATGTAGTGCTCTGTCCTTCTTCCAACTTTCAGGTTTACTGTCCTGGATAGTGGGACAAACACCAAGAACCTGGGTGATATCCTGGGCCCAAAAAAGTCAATAGTTTTGCCACTGACTTCAGTGGAGTCAGGATTTCAGTGCAAGAATTCAGCCATAAATTATGTTCTGCATCCTGGCACAGCCCACAAATTCTGTGGCCCTTTAGAATTTGTTGACTGCCTGTCACACACTGCAATAGCTGCAGATGCAAAAAGCTTGTCCCTGCAGCAGCTCAAACAAGGAAGCAATTCCAAATTATATATTGTTCAGCAATGTTGCAGAAGGATGAGGTGGAGAATTTAATCTTGTGGAGAATGCGTCTCACCCTACGATTTTTGGAGGCAAGCACACAATGGATAATCTGAGATTTGGAAATGCATTTTTTTTCAGGGAGGTCCAACATACCTTTGTTTGACATGTCTTCTAAAACTGCTATGATGTGTGTGTGTAACTCCTTTGTTTATTGCATATTCCTAATTTTATACACTACACAAAACCAAATTCTGTTCTATTCCATTTGCTTGAGGGATGTTCCACTGAAAACACATGTGGTCTGGCAGCAGTGAAAGATTTAAGGACAATAGTAATAAAGCAAGTCATAGAAAGTTCTGAGCAGGATACTACTATTTCAATCAAAATTCACAGAATGATGCCAGAACCAATGCAGAAGAAAATAAATACGAAGACAAAAAACAAAACCAACTACAACTGGCTAAGAGCCACAGCAAAAATAAACATTACTAATACCAGGCCATACTCTGATCTCATCAGCAATAATGTGAATCTGGAGTAATTGCAAGGAGTAGAGCAGAATTACTTTTCAATTGCACCACTGAAACCAAAATATGGCCCTTAAGATACACTATTATTTTTGTACTTCTAAACAATATTTTCAGAGGATGTAGATTATTTAACCAATACCTGAAAAACATAAACCAATATATTTTGTTTAATCGAGAAACTGGCAATATATCAAGTAATTGCATACAGATACTGGATGGATTTTTTAAAAATACTGTAAGTGAAATATTAAAATATTGCAAAGTTTAAAATACTAATGAAATGCAAAACATTCCTGTAAGAAATAACCCATTTTAAAAAAAAGAGATAAATGTCTGTTAAATAGATTGTACTAACAGAAAGGACAATTTCATTACTAGGGTTAAAATGAAAACACAGTTACTGTAGATTACAAAGAAACAAATAGCATAAATCAATAGGAGACCAGGGAAAAAGGCCAATGCTATAGTTAAACACACTTGTTTATTAGCATTTGATCTTGCTGCTTTCTGAGACTGGAATCTAATGAGGCAGAATTGATTACAAAATGAGGATTGGTACAATGCAGGGAACTAAGGAGGTGGTCTCAATTCAACAAATGCACAACACAGAAAAAAATCCATCAGATAAATCTTTAATATTTGTTGACAGGGAGCCAGAGGGCCAAAACCTCATCCCACAATGAATGCTGATAATCACCGAGCAGTGGGAATGCTTCTATTTGGTAGCAGTAGTAGATCAAGGCTCCAATTCAGCAAGGTACCTAATTGTGTGTCCCCCACTTGAGTCAGGCTGATAACTTGCATGCTTAAAGATACACATGTGTTTAGGTGTCTTGCTGAATCAGAGCCCTGTTGAGCTACACAATGCTACACAGCATTAAGTGAAGGCCAGAATCTGGCAGATGTTGTCCAAGGATATTAATAATCAAACATTAATAATAGCAGCACTTATTAAAAATTGTATGATGTCAAAGCACTGTGCAAATATCCAAGTGTCATTATGCTCTGATCCAAAGACAATAAACTTGGAATCCCAAGATACCATTTCTTTTCATAATCACTTTTCAACTTCTAGTAGAAGTTTGCACAGTTTACAAGTGAACAGCTGTTTTTATAACTGGGAACCTTACATAATCTGGGATTTCAAAAGTAAACTGTCTTATTTCTGGCTTGCACAACACCATAGTAAGTTCATGTTATTATTAGTATTTGTATTACAACAGTGATTAGAGAAATGAGAGCCCCACTGCACTAGGTGCCATATAAACATAAAGTGAAAGGCGGTCTCTGCCCTGAAGAGCTAGTGATCGAAGAGAAGGAAAAGAAATTGTGAATTTGGAGTGCATTCCTTTGTAAAACAAACTAAATAACATAGGAACGAGATATCTACACCATCATGTCACAGAGTCAGGTTTAGAAACTAGCTTTGGGACCCACATCATCTGGGGAGCCCATTAAACAGTATAACTGCACTATTCATCCCAAGTGCTGGGCAAAAATCAGTGAAGTAGTATTGGCAATCACCTCAGAAAAAGCCACATAATATACCCATTGGTAAAGGGGGCAGTGCTACAGTAGCTGATAAAGGAAGAGATGTTGGAGTGGGGTATGTAGTAATATGGAGGGAAAATTAATGTGGTTCCAGGGAAGTTCTGCCATGAAAATAAAAAAATAAATGAACCATATGAATTTCTTACCTTATAAACAGATTCCTGTATTCTTGCTTTTAATTTGGAACTCCCTGTTTTCATTCCAGACACCAGAACGGTGTCTCCTTGTTTGGCAACTTTTTCCATCTCTGATATATAGGAAGGCGGTATGTAGGTAGATTCTAAGAATTTGAGTATACTGAAAAGTGAACAGAACAACTTTATGAGACAAGAGTCATGAATAATGTATGCTAACCTGGGTCAGAACTACAGTATTGTCTACTTCTAGCACATATGCCCATAGCACATGTAAGACGCTTATCTTAAACCAGGAAGGAGAAGCTCAATTTTCACTTATATGCCTGAACACATGAATGTTAAATTAAGCTTTCATGGGTGCTGTATGGGCTTGTGTAGGACTGGAAAACATAGATGGCTATAATACCTATTTGCAGGTCCCTTTTCTAACTTGTACTGCGACTGTTAGGCATAATTGTACTCAGTACCAAGATAATTCAGAGTTCGCATTGTATTCTGCAATGGACATATAGTGCACAATACATCTGTGTGCTCGGACACTGTGGTACTCTGGCTTCTGTGGCTAATTTGTGTAGTGACTGGTATAAAAGTGCATCTGAAGCATATGTATAGAAGGCAGGACCTTCTTAGAGACATACTGGAAACATGGATGAGGTATCTCCAACGATGTTTCCAGTGTGCATATAGAGGACTCTCTAGATCAGTGAGGTATGGTAAATGGGAAAGGCATTGCAGTTCTGTTTGTGATTAAGAGAACATTGGTGTTTTGCTCAAGTGAACTAGAAGGGCGTTTGATGTGAAGTGGATAAGAAGTGCTGATTAAATGTGTACAGGCAGTATGTAAGTTATGTGTTTTGTGGTCTCTGATGGAAATTTAGATGAGGTATAGTAATTAGGAAAAAAGGAATTTCTGGTGTACAGGATCTGGGTAAGTGTTGATAACAGGGTCACATTTTGAAGGTTGCTTGCAAAAAAACACCAAAAACAAAATTTAGGATGAAATGTTCCAAGGAGCTGCATGATGTTAGGCACCAGACCTCCACTAGATTTCAATGGGAGTTCAGCAACTTAAAGCCTTCACGTTTCTTTAAAAAACAGCCTTAAACTCTGAATTTCTTGCTTCAAAACTTTTTTTGGGGGGGGGGGGGAACGACAACCACTTTATTAAAATAATTATATGTTAAAAGTGTGACAGATTTTCCATCCCTTGGAGTTTTTAAATCAAGATGGGATGTCTTCCTAAGAGCTGGGTTGGATTTTCAAAAGCACCTAAATGATTCAGGGCTTGTCTACACACAACAGCTGTACCATTTAAAAAAACAAATAAAACAAAACACACACATTAGTGCAGAAAGAGTTCTATCCATATAAGCTGCTAAAAAGGCATGTTCTGCCATTACAGGCAAAACCCAGGGGAAATACTTTCAGAAAAAAAATAATGTAGGTTTGATCAGAGAAATTACATTGGTTTACTATTAAAAAGAAAACAAAAAAACCACACCCAATATAACAGAGTACTACAGACACAACAACACAGATATTTCACATTAATGAGCAGGACTCTTAAAGCACAATATACTTTCCTATCTCCTCTGCCTCACGCTTTGATTCACTTCCTTACTAACTAAATTTTGCTGGATATTATTTTCTTAAGTAAATGGAAATCCTGCCACTTGAGTATGAATCTATTGTGTCTTAGCGTCCAGATTATATATTACAAGAACGGCGGTTTAATGTTCTACTTGGCTAGTGTGTGGGAACTGCTTGATAGGAAAGAAAATTGATTTAGTGTTTTATATGCTTCTGGTATGACCAGAAACTGAAAAGTATGTCAGGCAGGCATTTCTGGAGCTGACATTCATATCAAGCAAAGCAAACACTCATTGTAGCATTTACTATGATGGATACTAGTAGAGTTCTATTAGACAAAATAATCCTGCTTTGCTGAAGGCCTGTTACCAGTCAGTCAGTATCAATATAAAGGCTAAACCAGAACGTTGGGAACCTAAAATGAAAAATATCCCAGATACGACAACACTGGGTAGCCTTCAAAGTTGATGAGTTTAATAAGAGTAGAAATTGAAATCCCTGTAGCGTGACTCCTCTCAGTCAAAGGAAATCAACAGAATACTAAAGTAGGTACAGTGAAAGCTTATGCAGTACCTATAAGTGAGGGGAAGACTGTTGGTGGGTAAGCACAGGAAGCTAGGAGTATTCCTATCCCTGCCACAAGCTCTCAGTATGATGTTGTGCAAGAACTTAACCTAGCTGTGTCTTAGTTTCCCGTCTGTTAAACATAGATAATAGTATTTTCCTACCGTCCAAAGGTGTTACAAGGCTAAATTCATTAAGAAGATGCAAAACACTTTAAGACCTTTGGATGGAAGTTTCTATTAGAGTTCAGAGTTTGGGCTAGACCAGAGCTGGGCAAACTACGGCCCGCGGGACCCTCCTGCCTGGCCTCTGAGCCCCCCCCCCGCCGCCCCAGCTCGACCCAAC